TGGGGGCCGTTCCCATCCCCGTTCCCCTCCCCGGCCCCATTCCCATTCCCGTGCCCGTTCCCATCCCCATCCCTCGCCGCCCCCGCCCATCCCCATCGGCCCCTTCGTCATCCCGGCCTGGGGCCGGCGCCGCAGCTGGAGCCGCTGCAACATCTGGGCACATCTGGGCACATCTGGGCACATCTGGGCCCAGGGCAGCGGTGGCCGCAGGCCCCGTCCCCCCGCGCGGTGCCCGGGCAGCCCCGGCCTCCCGCGGCCTCGTGCACACACGTGTGTGCCCGGCCTCCCGGTGGCTCGGTCCCTTTGCATCCCAAGGGATGTCCAAGCAACGGGGCCGGCCCCGCGCGGAGGCTCCGGGGGCTCCGAGCTGGCGGGCAGCGACACGGGATGCGCTGGAGGGAGCGGGATGGGCTGGAGGGAGCGGGATGGGCTGGAGGGAGCGCGACGGGGATGTTGATGCCGGATGGAGCTCAGCCGGTGGTGCGCGGCTCGCGGGGCCCCAGCGGAGCCCCCTGCCCGGGGGGCCGCGCACCGTCGCTCCCGGGACATCCGCGGCTTGATCCTGCTCTCCTTAAAGTCGCTCTTAGGCCTCGCGGCGGGGCCGACGCCRGCGACGCGGCGGGAGCGCTGCGCTCCCGGTGCCTCCTGCCCTCTTGCACTTGCACCGTTGGCCCTGGAGCCTAATGATGGCACCGCTGGCTCCTGCTGGTGGCCGCACCGAGCGCCCAGGCGCTGTGACCCGGTGTCCGGCGTGGCCAGAGCCTGAGGCCCCCGCGGCAGCCCCCGCACCCCGATGTGGGCAGGTCGGGGCCGGGTCTTGCTCCAGGGGGGCCGGGGAGGCCTGGGAAGGCGTCGCTGACCAGGACACAGAGGCGTTCGGGGTGCCTCAGTTTCCCCATGGCCGCGGCTGCACTAGGGTCCCTGTCCCCTCTGTCCCCATCTGGCGTTTCCAGGGGTTTCTCTTCCCTGGTGCCAGGCTGGGCTCCCCAAATCCGCTGCAGTTTGTGGCAGCCCCCCAGTTTGGAGGGCAGTGGGACCCACAGCGGGGGCACCGCGGGCGCCAGGGCTCTGCYGGGAGCAGCTCCCGCCCGGCGCCGGCCTCGTTGAGCTCCGCTCGCGCGAATGACTTCCCTTTCCTGCCTTTGTGCCATGAATTATTTGTGCGGCCGCGGCTCCCGGATGTCGGCCGCGCCGGCAGGGCTGCGGGGCGCGCGGGGCACCGGCGAGTGGCACCCGTCCCGCTGCCACCTCCCCGTGCCGCCGCAGCCGGGGCCGGGCGGCTCCGCGCGCCCCTGCACACCCCTCGAGCGGCAGTTCCCGGGAATGCTTCATCCCGGTTCTCCAGGCAGGGCAGCGGGATCCCCGCTGGTGTCGCAGTGGTGCCGGGCAGGATGGGGGCTCCCCGCGGGCAGCTCCAGCCGGTAGCGGTGCCRCTATGTAGGGCRGCGGCGGCGGCGGCGGGCGAGCGGCCCCGGGGCGCCCCGCAGGGCAGGAGCCGCCGGCACAGCCGCTGTTCTGGCGCTCRCTCCTGGGGGAACATCGGGAAAGTCGGCGCCGTCCCCGGGGCCACGGCCACTGCTGCTGGAGGCTGTGAGGGATGGAGGGCCGGCCCTGACCCTGCTGCCAGCCAGTCCCACCATGGTGTCCGTCCGTCCGTCCATCCATCCATCCATCCATCCATCCATCCATCCATCCTCCATCATCCATCCCGCTGCCAGCCAGTCCCACCATGGTGTCCGTCCATCCATCATCCATCATCCATCCATCCATCCATCCATCCATCCATCCATCCATCCTCCATCATCCATCCCGCTGCCGGCCAGTCCCACCACGATGTCCATGTCCATCCGTCCGTCCATCCATCCAGCACCCATCCCGCTGCCGGCGCCGTGGCGCCGAGCCGGGGGCTCACGGGGGGCGCCCGCCCGCCTGCCCGCCCGCAGGCGCCGCGCCATGGACTCCATGTTCGAGGACGACATCAGCATCCTGACGCCGGAGGCGCTGGGCCCGGACGAGGACTGGCTCGACAGCCCCACCACGGACCTGTCGGGAGAGACCTGCTCCGCCTCGCACTTCGCCCTCGTCACCGCCTACGACGACATCAAGAACCGGCTCACGGGGCTCGAGCGCGAGAACTCGGCGCTCAAGCGGCGCCTCAAGATGTACGAGCTCAAGGTGAGGGGCGCGGGGCGCAGGCCGGGGGCCGGGGGGCCCGGGGGGCCCGGGGGGCCGGCGCTGAGCGCTGCCGCGCCGCAGTTCCCGCTCATGGGCGAGTTCGGCGAGGAGCAGCTCTTCTCCCTCTACGAGGCCAAGGAGACGTCGCTGCTCAAGAGCGAGAAGGCGACGCTGCAGCAGCAGCTCAACCAGTTCCAGCATGAGGTGAGCGGCCCCTGTGGAGGGTCCTGTGGGATGGGGGGGGGCCCCGCCGGAGCCCCCCAGCCCCGGCTGGACCTTGGCCTCGCTCCACTGCAGCTGCAGAAGAGCAAGGAGCGGGAGGAGCAGCTGGACGAGATGATCCAGGCCTACGAGAAGCTCTGCGTGGAGAAGAGCGACCTGGAGTCGGAGCTGGCTGAGATGGTGGGTGCCCCCGCTCGCTGCCCTCGCCCTGGGGTCCCCGCGGGGCAGCCGGGAGGGTTTGCCATGGGAGCGGGTGTTGGAGCAGGGTGCTGGAGCGGGGTGCTGGAGCGGGGTGCTGGGATCAGGTCTCATGCTCCCCTCGCTCGATCCTCGCCAGCGGGCGCTCGTGGAGACACATCTGAGCCGCATCCGGAGCCTGGAGCAGCAGCTGCGGCAACGCGACGGCGGCTCCTTCGGCAGCCTGGGCGCCCCCCTGCCCAGCCAGGACGTGCCCTTCCTGCCGCTGCACGGCGGCCCCGGCCTGAGCCACGGTGAGCCGCGACCCGCGCGCCCCGGCCTCCGGCATCCCCCCAGCCTCCAGGATCCATCCCTGGCCTCCAGCATCCCCCAGGCCTCCGGTATCCCTGCTCCCTGCTCTGGCCTTGAGCATCTCCGCTCTGGCCTCCCTCATCCTTGTGGTCCAGCCCTGAGCATTCTCACTCCCTGCTCCAGCCTTGAGCATCCCTACTTGGCTCCCAGTGTCCTGGCTCCCTGCCCTGGCCTCGAGCATCCCTGTGGTCCAGCCTCGAGCATCCCCATAGTGCAGCCTGGAGCATCCCCACTCCCAGCTCCGCATCCCGCTCTGGCCCTGAGCCTCCCCACGGTGCAGCCTGGAGCAGCCCTGCTCCCCACGCTGCTCCAAGGCCTCCCTGCCCCGGGGCGGCCGGGCYGCGGGGCAGAGCGGTGCGGGTGCTGAGCCCGGCGCGTCCCGCAGTGCTGGACTGCCCCGTGGGCTGGCCCGGCCGCAGCCTGGAGCAGCTGGAGGCCGAGCTGGAGGCGGCGCGGCAGGAGGCCCAGCGCGCGCAGCACCGCGAGGAGCACCTCGGCGCCGAGTGCGAGCGGCTGCAAGCCGAGCTCAAGCAGCTGCAGGAGAGCCGGGCGCAGGTAGAGCCCCGCAGCCCTGCCCTGGGAGCTGGGACTCSCGGGGCGCAGGGCACACCTGGGGACATGCGCTGTCCGCAGGAGCAGTCGGAGCGCGACATGGCCTGGGTGAAGAAGGTGGGCGACGAGCAGTAAGTGCCACGCGGGGGGCCCTGGGCGCACAGGGTGCGGGCAGGACCCCGGGCGCTCTGCGGTGAGGCGGGATGTGGGGTGCTCGGCGGGGGCAGTGGCGCCGTTGGGACCCCCGGGCTCGACTCGCTCCCAGGACAGCTCCCACCGGCACCGGGGACATCCCCGGCCCGGGTCCTTGTCCCCGGGGCCGGCGGGTGCCGGCGGCCTCGGCAGGCGGATTCAGGTCCTTGCATGGAGCGAACGCGGCGCTGCCGCATCCCGCTCGGCTGAGCTGCGGCGAGACGGGAGCTGCCGCCTCTGCTGCCACCCAGCCCTGCAATTAATGACTCCCTCGTTAGTCCAGCCGCCCGCAGCCGCTCTGCTCCGCTCACCACCCGGCCGCAGCTCGGCGCTGCCGGGCGCCGGATCATGGCCCTCGGGCCGCGCTGCCGCCGCTCGCCCTGCTCCAGCCGGGGAGCAGAAGCGCCCAGGCAGCCTGGCCCCACGGGCAGCACCCTGAAAGCGCCCGGCCGGCCCCGTCCTGGGGGGAGAAGTGCCGAGAACCGGGCCCAGTGCCAGTGCTGCGCGCGGTGCCGCACGGGCTCCGTGCGCTCGCTGCCTCCAGAGGGCACTGACGGCCTGTGGCCGCGGCRGCGCCCGGTGCCAGCGGCGGCCCCGGCTGCACCCGGCCCCGCGCGGAGCCGCCGCGGCTCCGTCGCAGCGCTGTGATGCAGCCCGAGCCGCCCCCGTGCTGGGGACCCTGCTGCAACCCCGCGCCCGCCCTCGCCACAGCCGCGACCCGTCCCACGGCCCAGGGCCCCAATTTGGGGTGTTGGGCCAGGAGCCGGGCGCATTTTGAGGCCCTCGGAACCACAGAAGGGGCCCGGACAGGGCTGGTTCCCACAGTGGTGCCGACAGAAATGCCCGGCTGCTATTCCCATGCTGGCGATTCCCAAGCCTGGGGCAAGGGATGCCCACAGATCCCAGGCTTGGTGGGCTCGGAGCGGCTGCATCCTGGTGCACTTTGTGCCCAGGGCAGAATCCTGCTGCCCCCAGGAACTGCTGATCCCACCATAGCCTGCGCATCCCCCCCTCAACAGCCCTCCACAAACTTTAATGAGACAACAACCCCTTATACCCCGAGCTCYCGGCAGCCCTGGCCTTGTGGCCGCTCCTCCTCTCCGAGAGCATCCCCGGGTGGCGCGCGGGGCTCCCGCCCTCCTTCCCGTCCCGCCACCCCATCCGCGGTGGCGGTGCCGGGGGCGGCACGAGGCGCAGGCACCCTGTCCGCTCCGCGCACGTCAAGCGGCGCCGGTGCCGGGTGCCGCCGGCGCCGCCCGGCCGCCGAGCCGCGCACAGATGCGAGGTGACGCGCGGGCTCGCGTGGCGAGGCGACGCCGGCGCCCTTGCTGGGCGGCCTCGTCAGCGGCCGCCGCCGGGCACCGCGCCGGCGCCAGGCGCGGGGAAACTTTCCCGCTTGTGTGCCGCTCCTCGCCGTCCGCCCCGCTGCTGTCATTATTCTTCGGTCGCTGGATGCTCCCGCCGCTCCTTGTCTCCGCGGCGTAAATCAGCGCCTCGCTCGCGCTGATGTGCACTGATTCCCACCCGGGGGGACGAGGGGCGGTGGGGACGGGCCCCTCTCGTCCTCGGGCGTCTGCGGCGGTGGCAGGACAAGCGGCGAGTGTCACCTCCCAGCCGCATCCCGCGCGACACGTCRCATCCGTCAGGAACCCTCGCCGCATGCACCTCTGCCCCCAGTTAACGCGCTAATTCCTAATTGCTCTTAGCCAGCTCCTCGCAAGCCCTTTCCCTGCTTTTTGCGGGCTGCAAAGGGCAATAAAACGGTTTTATTAGGGCCGTCCAGGCCCTGGGAGCTGGGTGGGCGAAAGGGAGGGCTCGCGCGGCGCAGGATGCGGCGCCCGCCGGACACCCCTTCCTTCCTCCTGCCTGCTCAGGCCGGGCGAGGTGCCCGCGCCGCCCTCCGGCGCTCGGCCGGACCYGCGTTTAATTTTGGAACAAAAGCCACCTCCCCAGAGCTCGCTTTTCTTGTAAATAAGGCGCTTTTTTATAACCTGCCCTTTTCCACCTCTTTGGGGCATGAAGTGCGTTATCTGCGCTCTCGATATCCGGGTGACTTTTCTTTCTTTCTTTTGCCGAATTAGTCAGCGGGCTCYGTAGTGCGCCCACAAAGGCAGTGCCAGCTCCCGCTCTGACTCCGTGCCTCCCATTTCAGCCCTGCTCTTCTGCTTGGGAGGCAGAGGAGGAGGTTCCCAAAGCTCTGGGCCTTGGACACTGGGAATCTCGGCTCCCCATGGGCGGGACGGGGCCGCGGAACCGGTTCCCAGGGCAGCTGCGCTTGCTCGGTGCTGCGGCCTCACTGCTGTCACGACAGCACAGGGTCTCAGCAGAGCTGCCTGGTCACTGGCTGCTCCCCATGTGCTCYGGTCGTTTGGATTTTTGTCGTTGCCCGTTTTCCTTTGGCACCACCGGGGCTGTTTTTGTTGGTTTCGSCTCTTTTCCTCACTCTCTGGGGAGCCCGCATGCCAGCCAGACACTCGCTGGGTGCATCGGGACGTGGGGGCTCCTCGGGGACCGACCCGGCCCCGCACCCCCACGTACCCATTTCGAGCTCCCCCGCGTGTCCCCCTGCCCTGCGCGGGGACCGGATAAGCCTGTGGTTTCTGCGCCTCATTTAAGGGCTCCTTTGTGCGCTTTGTTTAAGGGGTTTTGCTGGCGTTCTTGCTCGAGCTGCCCCATCCCCTGCGCAGCCCCCTGCCCTGCGCAGCCCCCTGCCCCAGCTGGCCTGGACCCGGTCCCCGCATGGGGCAGCAGGGCCGGGGGCTGCAGGGGGGGCAGGGGCTGCTGGAGAGGGCTCCTGGGGGCTGCGGGACGGGGGTGCAGGGTCCCCGGGGGCCTTTTTGGTTTGCAAGCCCCCTGCCAAGGGCGCGAGGGGCTGGAGGAGTCGCCCCCTTCCCTGGGGAACCCGCCCCCGGCGCCGGTATCCGCAGCGGGCCGGCCGGGGGGGCTGCGGTCAGGGGGGCGGGATGTGGTCGGCATCTCAGCCGTGATCGCGGCAGATCCGTATCGGGGAGCCGCGCGGGGGGGCGGCGCGGGGAAGCGGCAGCCGCTCGGCCGCTTCCTGGGAAAGACAGCGGGTCGGGGCCGGCGGGACGGGCGCGGGAAGCACGGGGGACACCAGCACCCCCGGCATCCCAATGGGTCCAGCCGTTCCTGGTGCTCCCAGCCCCGCTCCCGGTCCCKTCCCGGGCTCTCCCGCTTCCTGCCGGGCTCGTGCCTGCTGCCGTGTCCGGAGCAGGACGGTCCGCGGGACCATCCGACATGCGGGACCCTCGGGGCTGCCGCTGCCTCCTGCAGGGATTTGGGACATGGAGGCCTGGGACCCCCTGGGACAGGAATGAAGCCCAAAGGCAGCAGGTTTTAGCACTACTGTCCGCAGTGGGAACAGGATGGGAACGGAACAGAGATGGATGGGGACAGGGGATGTGACTGGGAATCCGGAGAGGGAATCCCTTCCTTTTTACTTCTTTTCTTCTTCTCTTTACTTTCTTCCTTCTCTTTTTCCTCTTCCTTTCCTCCGCACCCATGGGAGCCCCGCGGCTCGCGGGCAGGGGAGGGCCGGGCCGGCCCTGTCGGCTGCTGTTACGAGCGGCAGCTCCCGGGTCCCCGGGGTGTCACAACCGCTCAGCTTAACTTGTCCGCACGCGGCCGCGGACAAGCCGGGCCTGACAGCCCCGCGCTAACCTCGGGAGATGGGTTTCTCCCATCACATCACCGGAGCGAATATGTTTTTTAAAAGCGACACGCAAGTTGGGGACGACTTGATGAGCTTGGCAGGGCTCTGCAAGGCTGTTGACGAGCGCGGCAGGAGGACAGGGCCCAAACTTTTCCCTTCCGAGCGAACAAAGTGGAGGWTTGGGTTGGCCGGGGCCCCGCGGTGACGCTCGCCCTGCCGCAGGGTGAACCTGGCGCTCGCCTACACGGAGCTGACGGAGGAGCTGTGCCGCCTGCGGAGCCTCAGCGCCCTGCAGAGCCAGATCCTGCGCGCGCTGCTGCAGGACAAGGGCCTCAACGGCGGTAAGGGGCACGCGGGGGCCGGGGCRAGCGGCGGCTGGAGGGCAGCCCCTGCGCCGCCCGGGCCGGCTGCGAGTGGGGACTCGGATGTCCCAGTACATGGGCATCCTCGCATCCAGTGGAACTGGTGCATGCGCATCGCAGCACTCGCTGGCACCGGTGCATGGGCATCGCAGCACCCAGCTGCTGTAGTGCATGAGCATCGCAGCATCCAGTGGAACTGGTGCATGGGCATCAAAGCAGCTTGCTGCTCCGGTGCATGGRCATCACAGCACCCAGCTGCTGCAGTGCATGGGCATTGCAGCACCCAGTGCTCTGGAACACAGGCATCACAGCACCCAGTGGAAACGGTGCATGGGCATCACAGCACCCGGCTGCTGTAGTGCATGAGCATTGCAGTATCCAGTGCCCTGGAACTCGGGCATCACAGCACCCAGTGGAACTGGTGCATGGGCATCGCAGCACCTGGCTGCTCCGGTGCCCGCACATCACAACACCCGTCACCGCTGGTGCCCCATGGGAGCTGTGCCAGGCGCTCCCCACCCCTCACCCYGCTCCGCTCTTTGCCTTGCAGGCCAGCGCCACTCGCCGCTGTCGCAGTGCCACTCGCCGGCCCAGCAGCGCCGCTCGCCCGGCCCGCAGTGCGCGGCGCCGGCGGCACC